TCACATAATTCTTCTTTTCTTTCAACTTTTTCTGCTTCATCTTTCCATTTTTAAATGTCTTCACCCCATGAAAATGTCTGCAATTTGTATGTTATGAAGAGCTTTTCCATTTTGTTTTGGATATGTTCCTTTAAGAGTATGCACATGCTTAACTCACAAGGGTAATTTTGTCATTTTGGCCCTCTATTGTTTTAACATTGAGGAGAAAAGGATCTTTTCATACATAGGTCAAACACTTGCAATGATGAGTAATCTTGAATGGTTCGCTTTAAACTTAATCAAAGTAAAACCATCACATCAATTAAAATGGTTAGTGAAACAACAATATTAGGGTTCATGTTGTTATCTTAAAATGGTGGAATTGGATGGGAAAACCATAAAAAATGTGGATAAATGCTTCCCTTTAATTTATAGAGATGAGTTGTAAAAGATGGATTGCTTTTGGTTCACATCCTATATTGGTTAGGAGTTGGAAAAATTATGTAGTATAAAGGTTTTCAAAAGAGACGAACAACAAATGTTTAACACAAGACTACATTACTTATTTTATCAAAGTCAATATTTGGTGCAAAGTCTCTGTTACTAAAAAAATGTAGATATCTAACAAATTTTCGCCGAGTCGATCCAAATGGTTCCTAGAATGTTTGAAACCAGTCTTGGAATCGACTACATTACTACAATGACTCTTTAGATCTTAAAACCAGTAGAATAAGATGTAATTAGTTCCAACAATGATTACTTTGTAATTAGAATTTAGAACTAACTTTTATTTGGTTTTAAAAATAAAATTAAGAAAAAGTATCCAAGGTTTGTAGACATTATTCCCTTCAAGCTAATGATCGATGTGAAAATAAAAATAGGATAACAAATGAAAACAAGAATGATTTGATTTAGAGCAGAGCCTATGTTCATGGAGTCATGGTTATGATCAACTTGACAAATCCTTTGATGTGAAATTTGTAAATCTAAAAGCTTCATAACACTGGTGCATGTGATATTCTACTTCGACATCAATTCCAAAGAACAAACCAATTTCATATGAATGATACATCTCATCTATTTGTTTCAAAAGATGTAGCCAAGATCAAAAATATTGCAACTAAGGGTTATTATACGAAGATATCCGTTGAACTAAACAGGAAAAGACAAGAGTTAAGAGATGTCTCTTTCATAACTATAAAAAAATAGATTTTGGATGAAGATGGATTAGATAAAATAATACGGAGCATATTGAAGACCTAACAGAAGCCTACATGGAGAAATGTGTGAAGGACAAACAGGACATGGAAATACAAATGTTTGAAAATACGTAAAATATACAATGTGGGTAGGAAAAATGATGTGGCTAGAAAATAAGTACTAAAGTTCAAACAATGTGGCTCAAAAAATATGTAAAGAGAGTTGATAAAGACACCTTGCGAAATTTTTTGAACACATGCTAATATGCTATTGATTCATTAATGTTTTCTAAGCAACACTCCATTTTCACATACAATATTGTGAATATGTGTCTATTATATACATATTACTCATCAACTGTAGTATGATAGACAATACTTGAACACGATACTTAGCAAAGACTTTAAAAAACTAACGGATAATTTCTTGAATCGTGTAACGTTAATTCCTTAATTTCAAACCCTAATCCATTTTTAGTTATGATGTTGCTAATATAGGCTTATTTAAAAGAAACCACAATGGATAGTAAGACATTTCGCGAGGCATTTAAGGATCGCGTGAGATGTGTCTCAAAGCTTCATTCAATGTTAAGCGAGACTACAAATTACTTACTTGCAACACTTCCATTTACTCACTTGAATCTCATAAAAAAGGTTTCACAAATGTTGTAGAGATAGAGACGTTTCCATCGATGGTAGAACACTATAACAAAACAGTGGAAAATGATTTTATAAATTTGGGTCCATTCGTCTTCTTCTCATGAGTCTTGTATAGAGAAATTTTCAGTAAAATCCTAATATTTTAGTCCATGTTATGCAAAAGTCTCAAACTACAGAAAAACACAAAATAAGTCTAAATCTGCAAAATCGATCAAAATAATTTTTTTTCAAAGTTTAACCGATATTCTGTGTTTTTCTATAAATAAAATTTAGTTTAATATTTTTCATAATCTTGATTAAATATAAGAGTTTTTTTTTTTTGGAAAATTTCAGTTGAAAATGTGGTGATGTTGTAACGTCCATTATCAAGGTAATTTAAAATTTTGACCCTTAATATGAGATTTTGTTGCAAAATAGGTCCCATGGTTGAATTATGAGGAACATGCCTTTTGTCTAGTACGCTGGGCGTACGTGACTGAAGGAAGGAAGCCATTGGAAAGCATCATTAACTCCCAATATGTAAAGCCCGCAGATTCGGGCTAGTCAATTTAGAGACAATAAACGTCAAAAATAAATTTTTGATAGAAAATTATTTAGAATAAATAATCTTAACCAAGTTAAAGTATATGTCACAAGGGTTCCGTACATATAAAGAACGTCGAAATCCGAGTTATAACGAAGAAGTTATGATCCGTCGAAGTTTTACGGCTAAACCGGCACGACACCGCATAACGTAAAAAGTGAATTTTTGATAAATTACATTTTAGTCTTAGCAATCTAAATGAAAGTCGTAGTATACATTAAACCGAGTACGTACATAAAAAGAACGTCCAAATATGACTTCGTATGAGAAAGTTATGATTTTTCTAAGATTCCGCATAGCAGTACACAACCCGAAAATCGAATTTTAGATCGGTTGATTTTTAGCCAACACAACCTAAGTGAGAATTGAAGATCTCAATAATAGGAGTTCAACGATAAAAAGACAGTCGAAAACGAAGTCCATATGTAGAAGTTATGAATTTTACACGGTCGTTAACAGTATAATCTTCTCGTACTGTCAAATTTAAAATCGGTCGAGAATTAGCCGACGGAGTCAAAGGAGAGTTGTAGAACTTGTCAATACCCACACGTGGATATAAAGAACGTCAAAAATGGAGCTCGTATGCAAACCTTACGAATTTTAGAAGATAATTAGTTTTTGGAATAACCAGGAGGCGACATGTGGCGCGATTTGAGCCAATGCTTCCTCACCACGGCTTGGCACCAGATGGTGACACGTGGCCACGAACTCCCTGCGTTCAGAAAGGGAACGCCCCGCGTCCAAACCGGACTCAGCCTATAAATGGAGGAACCCAACAATAGGTATGTTTAAGTTCTGCCCCCGCAGAGCCCGGTTCCTATCCAAACCTCCCGATAAGTGAGTTATGCTTACCCTACTTTAAGTATAGTTTATGTTTAAGTTCAATATCGTTATTATGAAATTATAAACAATATATATATATATATATATATATATATATATATATATATATATATATATATATATATATATATATCTCATATTATATTATAAAGCATATTAGTCATATCTTGAATTTTAAGAAATATAAGTTATAAAGTTTTTTGTACAAATCAATTATGCATAAATATCATTAATACTTGCCAAAATTTTGTAAACTTCAAATAAGGAAGGTTATTAAGAAATTTAATTTGGAGCAAAATAATATTTTTTAAATATTAAATTCATGTATATAAATTAATTTAAACTTCTCAAACTAGATATCGGTATTAATTAATTCACATTAAATGTGTAACGCCCCGATTCTCAGGTATGGAATTGATATAAGAATTTTCTTGTTTTCAAGGTCTGCTCGACGAGTTGGTTGCCCTACTCGTCGAGTAGCAGCGGGTTGGTTCGCGTGTTTTAGTGACCTACTCGCCGAGTCCAAAAATGGACTCGACGAGTAGGAGTTGGCAGATGAAACCCTAAATTTCGGGGTATTGCACCCTATTTAAAGGACCATTGGCCTCCCCCAGCCTCCCCTTTACTGCTTCTTGTCCCTCTTAAACCCTAAGTCGAGTGTGTGTGATCTTTTGGTGTGTTCAAGCTTGGAGGAGGGATTTTGGAGAAGGAAACACTTGGTGAAAGCAAGGAAATCAAGGCTAGGAACTCGTGGGGAGCTAAGAGATTCTTCAGTTGTTGCTCTCTGGAAGGTATTAAGCTGCTTCTTTGGCTCATCTCTCTTTTAACCTCTTTTGGATGGGTTTTATGAAAGGCTTCTTATGTTTGAGCTAAGATCTGAAGTTGTAACTTCAGATCTGGACTCCCTTTGACCCCTAGATCCATGAAGTCGTCAGCCTTGCCTAGTATGAGCCTTCCCTCAAGTGTGAGACTTCATTGCAAGCTTAGTTTTTTCATTTAAGGGCCTTGGAGCTTTGCATGCACGTAAAGTTTGCATCCTTACGTGATAAGCAGGCCTTGGAAGGTTGGATCTGTAATCTGGAACCTTTGCATGGCTTAAAAAGCATCTGTATGATTGAAGGATTTAAGGGACTCGGCGAGTCATATGAAGATAGTCATGTACTCGACGAGTTGGATGAACAACTCGGCGAGTCAGATGAAGGTTGCCTTGGACTCGGCGAGTCAGTCGAATGACTCGGCGAGTCGTGTAGCACCCGATTCTTGGTACATATTTAATTTCATCGAAATGTTACGATTTACTCTGGGACTCGGCGAGTTGGAGGCCCAACTCGTCGAGTAGACTCGACTGTTGGATCGGGGGTTTAAGTGACCTACTCGACGAGTCGGAAGACCGACTCGACGAGTAGGAGCTGTCTGGACAAAACCTTAATATTTAGGGTTTGCACCCTATTTAAACACTTAATCTCGTCCCAACCCAGCCTCCATCACCCTTCCAACTCAGAGAAACCCTAGATTGAAACCCTAAACCATCTTTGAGTGAATTGAGCTCTTTTGGTGCCTTTTTGTGTGTGGTTCAAGTTGAAGGAGAAGAAGAGAGCTTAGGAGATCAAGAGGAAGCTAGTAGATCCTAAGGTTTTGCTTCATTCTCAGTCCATTCAAGGTAAAAAGCTTGAACCTTGGCCATCTATTTCCTAGATCTTGTTTTGGGGCTATTTCTCCACATTTTCTAAGTTTTT